TTTGAACTTACTCCTGCTCTGAATAAAGAAGATAAAGCCCATTACTCATGTCAGGAATCCAAAATTTATACCTTCCTCGACCAGAGCCATGATATTAAGAAATGGCTGCCTCCTTCTGGGCAGAAAAACTGAGCAACATTTCAAAAGCAGGAAAAAATTAATGCATGTATCTGTATGGAGTCCAATCTCATTGCATCTTCCAGCTAGCAAACAGAGGGAAATAAGAGAGGGACAGAAAGTGGGATGGGTATGTAAAAGCCTCTGTCATTTCCAACGTTTCCCTCTTACAGAAAGTGTTAGAAGAACACTTACAGAAATAAGTCAGCAGATCTCTTTTTGCACAATGCCCAGCAGCCTTGAGTTGAAAATTTAACATCAATATCCCTGAAACACAGCATTTCAAGAAGACCTACTGAAGTTAAAGGGAGCTGAGGATGTCTCCGCACCCAAACCACCACGCTTTACAAAGAATTTTGACACATCAAGTTGTGCATTGTGTGTGCATGCTACTGAATAGAACATCAACTTTTAATGCATCCTGTATTGCTGGAGTTGCTCGGATACTATATATAAAGAAAAACTTGAGCTAAACTGTACTGTAATTACTTGCACAGCTTAAGGAATTAGGGGTATTTTTATTATTTGTAATTAAGATAACCTTGCAAGGTCAATAGATAAGCTATGGAAATGAAATGGCATCAGAACTAAGGACTAAGCATATTGTCAAATTAAGTAACTTGATGAATGCCAAGAGTTAATCAGGGCCATAGTGATGTTCTCAAGCACCCAGAGCTGTAAGAGACGACCAGATGACCTCTGGAGGTCCCCTTCATTCTACATTATTCTATCAATGACAGTGACAACTGCCACCATATATAATGCCCTTACTCCGACAATCAGCTTTGAGAGAGCACTGATGCTTCATTCAAAGGAAGACCCCTTCAGCGTGTCTTAACAGCACGAAAGGACAAGATTAATCCCAGCACAGAGTTTTCCTCATAGGATCTGGTCCTGAGTAACTACCCACATAATTTAAAGATTACCTAGAATGAGACTTGTAAGGCTATAAATTTACCTGCGTTTTGAAACAATCAAAAAGAGACCGTGGATTATTTTAATCTAAAGAGGTATCAGCATGAGTAACCCTGAAGATGACTATCAACTAAAGCTGCAAAAAAAGCCCCCACACTTTTCCACTTGTTTTGTACATAACAGAATTTGTGCATGTATGTTTTCACCTTTTGTGCCACACACTAACATAAACACATCACTGTTTTGGCTTGGTTTTTTTTTTAAGGAAGAACATGTTCACATTCACATTTTCCCCCAAGAGTGTATTAACTAAATACTGCAGTAAAGTGGAATTCAGAAGCACAGACATAGATGAGAAAGGATAGGAAAGTGTGGGAAAGGATGGGAAAGAAGATCTGTGCTTATGAGTTTCCTGCCTGATCATCTGAAGTAGAAACAACAAAACCCTTATGAAAATTAGAGAAGGCTTGATGTTCCAGCCATGTGGTTTGTATCAGATGTCAACCTTTTTTAATTAGCGTACAATGTTTTTTTAAAGAAATCACATTACTATTTTGCAGGGCCCGTCAGGATGTTTCTTTCAGGGTCACAACCATATTTCAAAGTCACTTTGCTTACATTTCCTTTTCTACTTTGTACTTCATGTTTAGCATTAACAGGCACTTAGGGAACAAAATCCATCCATTCACGATGGACGGATAAAATACCAGGACTCCTTTTACTTGACTTTCATCTAAAATGACTTCACTGTAAAAAAAGCATTTGCCTCTTAACAGAAAATTGAACTGTACAATTAACCAACACGCAGCTAAACTAAAACAGCAACACATGCAATTCTGTGTTACTGGCGGAGTAAAAATGCATGACTGTGGATTGTAACAGAGGAAAATGTATGCCATGTAAACTAACACAGATTAATCATCTGACAAATTTTGAGAAGATAAATAGGACTTTAGTGAGTCCTCAGAAGTGCAAAACTGACTGCACTAGCTGAATGTCACCCAAGCAGACAAACCTAATCCAGGAGGGGATTGCCAAAGGCTACTAGAAAGGCTCATTTCCCTTTAATCCTCCAGGGAGCTGAAGGTGCTGAGTATCTCCCAGGAAAACAGGAACAGCCCACAGCTGGGTGTCTTCAGGATAAACAGGAGTCTCAAAGTCAAATCAAACATGACTGAGGTCTCAGGCGCTCCAGAAGAAGCAAAACCAACCCAGGGCCTGAAAGTTCAAGAGTGCTTTGGCTTCCTGTCTAGTTCTCCCCCTTGCTGACTACCTCTCTAGTCGCTATTTAATAAGCTATCTACTGTTCACTTACCCAAGGGGAACCAAACGGGAGAATGATAGATGACCCAAGTTCTGATTAAATACTCTGTTTCTCTGGTATTGCTGTGATTAGTCTACATCACAGTTCAGCGGTTCATATGCAATTACTAGGTTGGGACTAATGAAATTAGGGTTGTCTAGACAGCTGTGAAACTTCCAAGTTTATGAGGAAAATCATATCAATGTATTATTGTTACAAAAGCATTTGAGTCAACTTAGTTAACAGAATGATCAATGCAAGAGTCAGTGTCTCTTTCTCCTCAAGTTTTCTTGCACATACCTCAGCTTCCTTCCCAACAAGTCTGCACTCAGGGGAAACTGTTCCTGTACACCTCAAGGCACACAGGACAGCAGTGTTTCTCCTACATAGCTAAGTGATGCTTACTATCACCTAGGCATTCCTATGTGATAACACTCCCCAAAGAGAGACAAAAGGAAGAAGATGCAAAAGCAAGCATAAGATCGTTTCAGTTCAGTTCCCAGTCACCCATCAGAGCCCAGTGACGTAGGAACCGCCGAGATCATTTTGGAAAAAATGTATCAAAGGAAAAAGAAACCCACACAACAGATAAATGCAGGAAACGAAGGTGGAGATCTGAGCCAAGTCATCAGTTTATGTTCATTGCTGAAATTACCAACTCAACAGAGAGATACTACTTAAAACCAGCCTTTAAATGAACTGCTGTCCTACCACTTCCTTTTGCTGGATGTTACACTTTACATCAGATGGCAATATGTGCAGTTTCCCATTTAGCATCATACCTTAATCACACAGCAGGTGGCAAATTCAAGTCAGAAGCTTACTAGCCAGCTAATTTGCCCTAGGTGCTGGCAAACCGTGGTTGCCAGCCACAGCAGCTCTCCCACTGCACTACCCAGCCCTCTGGCCGGCAGCCAGCACCCGCTGAGCAAGTTTATCAGGAGTAGTTGCCCAGCAATTGCTGTGTGCCAGTCCCTGGAGCAGCCTCGTGCCTCCACAGAGCTCACACCAGTTGTTGGACACGAGAGGGCCACGAAGCCCATCTGCCCAGCTGCCGCAAGGGCACACACCATCAGTCAGGCAGCAGGCACAGGTAACAGCAAGAGAAACAAAAGAAAGTTCAAAATCCCATGGGGCACAAGACTTAACCCTGTAACGGTATCTTTAAACAGACTGACACATTCAATTCTCTGTATGTTGTTGATACAACTGTGTATTGGGCATGTAGGAGCTATTAACACCATCTCTCTTCTGAGGCTTACAGAAACTCTCCCATACAGAAACTCTCCCATATAGAAGAGATGCTGAACACAAAACTCTCTGATGCCATGGTTATATACACAGAAAACACACTCAAAAAAGGCACAGTACTCAGGACAACGCGAGCAGCGCAGGGGACACACACACACACACACACACACAGAGCGATCATTCATTCTGGAAGCCATCTCAGCCCCAGAACAAATCCTCTTGCAGTAACTCAAGACCTCTGGCCAGAGACATGTTCATAATTAATGAACAATCATGGCAGCAGCACGGGAAATGGGGGGGGGGGGGGGGGGGGGCGCACACAAAAGAAAAAGCTCCACATTTAGGAAAACAACTGGGAGCATATCTACCAACTCCCTCTTCTTGTGTCTCGCACTATGCAATGTGTACCTGCACAGTTCAGCACAGAGATCTCCAAATGTATTTTCCACTAAACCGCCATAGCTCAAACCCACCTCATCCATGATGCAAGCCACCACACTTCAGCCTCTTGTGGCTGTGACACACAAGAACACAGGTAGCCTGTCCTGCCAATGCTGCATTGGAGTGATCGTCTTCGGCACAGGGTGACAGCAAACAGGAGGGGTGCCTATGATGTCTTAGCCCATCACATCATCATGTTGGCTTATCTGCCAGCTCCTTCCCTCATCACACAACATTAAAGGGCACATTCAGCAGAGCTGCAGGGTTTAGTCTTTAGGAAGCACTCTGCAGGAGTCTCAAATCCAGTTAAAAGTCAACATGAACTAAAGATGCTCAGCATGCCATGAGATAAAGGCACCAATTAATACTCCGCATGCAGGGGAGGGGGAGTCAGCTCAGCACCAAAAAACTTTGTGCTGCAGAGTGGGTGCTCTGAAGCAACCAAGCACAAGGGCTCCAAAGACGGAAAAATGAATTTGTCAAAGACCCCCACTGGGTCTCCCTCGTGCAAGAAGGCAGTAAGATAACTAAATCAGGTAGCTGTAATAGGTCCTATTCATCAACAGGATCCTTGTTTTCCTTCAGTCTCCTGCAAAGGCACAGATCATTAGCAACACTGCAAGCCCATGGTCCATTTTGTTATTACAGCATGAGTAAGTGATAGGAGTTAGCAGATCTTGCAGCAGGAACAGAGTGACATTTATTAGGGTTTGAACTTCAAGGATAAATATTTCTGTCCTTACTCAGGGAGAACTGCCACTAATGTCAGAGGGGAGGACTACTGCTAGCAGCACAGGGCATTTGGAGCAGCAGCAGTGCAAGATGGACCTTCAAAGGGGGAAACAATCAGTAGAATGGCATTTCCCTGGGAACAAAACCAATCTGGTAACAGGAAAATCCTCCTTCAAACCCCCTAACAAAAAGAGACAGACGACTCACAAATACCTTCCAGTCCTCTGCGATTTACTCTTACCTCTGTGATGTTTTCTTGTATTTTCTCCTGCAGGAAAAGAACAAAATACAACTGAGATAAGAAAGCTCCACTGGTGAGGAGGAGAAAAGGAGAGGGTCAGAAATCAGGAGCAATTAAGTGAAGTCACTTCTGCCCTTAGATTGCCCCAAACCTGATGTAGCCATTCCCTTCTGCTAACCTCAGTGGCAGTTGCCATTAACTTCAATAGAAAAAGGTATCAGTGTTTGCCTGTATACGCATCTTGCCCTTTTCTTGTAAGACAGGGTTGCTGCAGCTAGGAAAGAGTTACTAACCTAAATGACTTAACAGGAAGTCCAAGAGGCAGAAACTTACTTCTACTTACTAGCAGTAAAGTAGTTTCTATGTCTCTATCCAGCAGATAATCATGGCCTTATCTGTGAAAAGCCCACTGAGATGGAGTGGTGGTGTGATGCATCCAACCACATAGGCTGTGGCCACTGCATGGAAAACCCCAGCGGTTTTACAGCAGCCTTGCTCCAAAACCAAAAAGTCTAGATCCTAGCAAGTTCTCTACTCCACCAAACCCCAGACACCACAGAGTTTCACTTCGCTGCACATATCTTGGGACCTAGCTGACCTGAGCCCAGGATTTAGGAATGGTAAAAGCAGATAAGCATATTGACAGCACCTCTTCTTATCCCCAACCCTTACACCACACCAGTTGCAAAAAATGCTGTAAACTGCTTACTCTTCTTAGGGTGGTGGATTTTGTCTTCTACAGCAGGCAATGGCACACGCTGCCAATGCTCAGAGTAAGGCAATAATCATGAGTCCTCCTGCGCGGTTACCTATGTGGCTATACAGTTAGCCACAGAGGCGTATCAGCACCGTATGTTGTCTGCAAGCTCTCAATCCTGCAACAGCCTTTCCCAATGGCTTTGCATAGTGCCTGGCAAAACAGGGCATCGATCCCACTTGAGCTCAGCTCTGCTTTTGTGTTTTAAAGTAAAGCTCATGATCTCTAAACAAGTAGTGATGGGAACAAGTCTCCATGTGGACTGTGATGAGGAGTGCACGATCAACACCCTGTTGTTCAGCCATACGCTAATAGACAGGCCCCAGCTTCTCAATATATAGGTAATATTGTTAGAATGGGTGTACCGCTATAAGCATCAAGTTCTGCTTTTTCATCACTGATAGTATTGCCCATGGAAAACTGTGGCTAACTCAGGCCCAGAAAACTCAAAACAAGGGGAATTATTTCTTAAAAATAAGAAGAAACATGGCAAAAAGGAATGCAGTGCTATTTTGTACTTAATAAGAAGCATGAATAACGTCTCCCGGCTGTCAAATGTTTCATCTGTTATTACCTTTAGAAATTGTATTCATGCTTCTATCTGCTTCTGTATTCTGACCATGTTAGAAACATAAAAATCCTAGATATTTACTTTTAAAAGGATTTTAAAATATTACATTTACACTTTACTGTGTGAAGAATTACTTATTTAAACTTGAATGGATGCAAAGGAGTAAAAGAGCAAACAATCACAGCAGTATCAAGATTCTAGCTTACTGGCATTCAGGATGCTGACACATACAAGCAGAAGCCCACTTGGACACACCTGATTCTAAGGGAATTTTTCATTTTAATTTCAGAAGGGTGAAAAGTAGACATTTCATTTTGAAGAGATTAGATTTGGAAGCTTGTATTCTGACAAATACAGAACTTCACTAAATTTTCTTGCAAAAAGAAAATGCTGAAAAAAACCCCACCTGATTGGTCATTCCGATCCAAGTTGATTAAAATATCTTATTCCCAAGAAATCCAAATTTGTTTAAGTTTTTATTTCTGCTATATAACTTTTTAAATTTTCAAATGAAGTTATTTACAAGCTAATTGTTTCCCCTGAAAGTGTCTTACGGTGCATTCCAGCACTGCCAGAATGATTTTTCCCTTTATTGGTTAGTGACTTTCATATCATTTTATAAAGTGTTGCTCTGTCAGCCAAGCTTCACATTTGAGCAAAGATACCATTCATCAACTCCTGATGAGCTAAAATTTTCTCGTATATTTTAAAGAGGTGACCCAGCCTTAGGGTGCTCTTTGCATTTGAGTCATAACATCACTTTTCTGATCAGTTACACCTTCAATGCTCCTTTCACTCAAGAATATTTTTACTGTGTTAGAAAAACATGTACTATCACAGATGACAGAACAAGGAGAAAAGCATTTGCCTGGTCATAGGAGTTTTAAAAAACATACATACACCTTTTTATTGTTGTTTATTGTTTCCACACCTGCAATCCAATTACAGTCAAAGTTTACATGTACCAAGTTAGTGACTGCATTTATCAGCACTGAATTTGCATGTTACAGTTGAAAAGAATATAACTAAAGGAATGCTTGTTTATAGATTCAGTATCACTACTGCATGCACTTGCTTTAAAAGGAACACCACTAGCAGCTTCTGATACCTAGCAAAAAAATTCCTGTATGCCTGAAATGCCAGCACTTCAAAAACAAGGTCTGACAATCCTACTCACCGACATTATAAAAAGATGGCGTTGATAACATAAATCTGTTTCCATACATAGCCTTCAGCTTGCTTTTGGACATCTACCTGCGTTAATGCTTACTAACCACCTCTTACACTTGCCTTCCAAACAAGGAAATTGTTTGAATTGTCTTTGAATATTGCTGCCAGCATCAGTGGTTGGCTGCAATCAGCAACCATGTGTGAATTAGTAAGATGAAACTGGAGGGTGGGGATTTGGTTTTGCTTGGGTTTGCTTGGTTGGAGTGTTTTTTGTGGGTTTTTGTTCAGGATTCTTGTTTGGTTAGTTGTTTTACAAAAAAAATAAAAAAAAAAAAAGTGGGACAAGCTATTCTGGTTTATCTCCCCATGAGCAGTCTGTGCAGAGAGGAACTTGCTGCTGAATTGCCTTTAGCAGATGCTCTGGGATAAACCTGGAAAGAGATATGTCTTCCAGTCAAGCTCAAGGAGCATGTGATTTTCTGAACAAACCCAGGCTATCCCTCTTTCCCAGGAGCAAAAGAATCAGAGACACCTAAAGGCAGTGGTGTTACAGCTTCCCACACCTGTGGGCTGTCCTGTGTTCATGCCTTTCAAGAGGCTTATTGACATTACCAAATATGTGTAAGTTCAGTTTCTTTTCCCTCGCCACACGTGCTGTGCCAGAAGAACTGCCACATCCATTCAACTCCTGTTACCTGCTGTGGAATGTATTACTCATAGGTCTACATTTAGCTTAGATTTAAAAAGTAAATTAGAACAAGGGAGATTTTTTTTCATGCTGAAGAGAATTAGCAGGTGACTCACACTAGGTAGGCCCTGTATTACTAGTGTAACCTAGAAATAACTTCACTCAACGCAATTACACCTGCACGAGTGTAGTATGAAGTGAATCAGACCTAGTACAAGGAGGCTGTTGGAGCCTAATGGAAACAAACCCAGTAAGAGTTTTAAAAATAGGTATTTTGTAACAATCTAAACAAAGTGGTGAGTAGGATTAAATTTTTGACTCAGATGAAGTCAACAAGAGAGTTGAGCCCACTATTTCAGTATCTGCTCTTCTGGGGATGAATGAATCCTTCAAGTGGCCAGAGGAACAACACAATATACTGGCTCAACATAAAATTAGGACAGATATTTGAAGGTATTTAAGCACCAGTAAGATGTAGCTAGCTATAGCTATATGGGCTCTCAACTCCCACTGAAATAAACAGATGCAGAGAATTTCTCTCCGTGCTTCGATGCTCATCAGCTTCTTTAAGGCTAAGTATCCGTTCCCAGGGTTATGTTTCTACCTCTGCCATTTAATTCGACTGCACACTCAGGCAAATCACTTTCTTCCTATATTTCCCCTTCGCATCCTTTTCTGTTAGTTTGTTAGCTCTTCAGGGTTGTGGCTTTAGCTATATGGGGTTTTGCACATCTATTTATGACATAACTGCATAACTGCAGCCCAAATAACACTACTTCTGAGTTGTTGTAAAAAGCTTCCACCCTTCCTGTGCATCTAGAAACCTAGAGATTAAGATAATTTAATAGAAACACACAAAACCTGTGTCTGAAAATGTGTCTAATGACATTCTCAGACCTTATTTTTCTGAGAGAGGAGAGTGAGTTAATGCGACTGAGTAGGTATGGAGAGGAGTGAGGGCGGAGAGTTTGGGAGAATTAAATAACTCTGCCAACTGCTCTGTTTTTGCCCCATAATCATACAACTCAGAATATCAACTAGCTAGATGAATCGATCTTTCACTCCTACACGGCCTCCGAAGAATTACCTAAACCACTTAAATTTTTTTACTCATAATAGTGGCTTGGTTAACATGGTGTTATTTCACATTTATTCCACAGGGTTTGGTATTAATGGCATCTTTTCAATATATGGTGTAAAACTATGGGTGCTGCAGAAGTAATAGGAGGATCTTTGCCTAACTTCATCCCTGGAAATGTATACTAAAATCTGGAAGTTAATGAGCATCATGCTCTGCTTACACACTGCTGCTAGAGACTAAGGCTTCTAACTTCCCTTGGTAAGGTCTCTGCAGGCTTGTAACTTCAGTCCAGCGATCAGCCTTAGGCCACCAGCTGATGGATGTGTGGCTAATGCCCCGAGGAACACACAGGTGAGTGCAGGTGACACTCTTCAGTGAGTTAATGCTACCCAACCTAGGAATGCCCAGTGCCACAAGCGTGTCCTTAGCCTGCTGAGATGGTCAAGTGACTCAGTTTTCAGGCTGAAGCTCAGAATCGGCACTCACAGTGGCTTAATCTAATGCGTTTTGTTTTACTTGGCCATTGCAGTGGGTTCAGAGGGCACACACAGTTGGTCAAAGCAGCTTAGCAAGACAGATAAGTCTTCTGAAGTCCTTAAAACTCGGTGGTCTGTGCTCTCCCCTTCATCAGCTGACAACAGACAAGCCTGGATCTAATGCAGCGTCTGCTTTCAGGCTGGATCTGCGCTTCTTTGTGAAGAAGAGGGCAAGGACTTTTTAGGGCACTAGAGACTAGCTAAAGTGAATCTGCTGCAGTGAT